ATTTTATTTTTACAATAAATTATTAGGGACTTATTGTATACTTAAATGAGCACACACTATATGTTTGTTCCCCATGTATTCATTATGTTCCAATACTTCATAATATATATATATATATATATATATCATTCTACTTTGTAGTTTATAATGAAATTATATATATTTTCAGTATAAATAGACACTTATATACACGAAATATAGTAGATTTACTTAAATACGCCTAGGCGACTGCCTAAGCCTCATTTAGCCCACTAGGCGCTAGGCCCTAGCATGCTGTCCGACTAGCGTCTAGCGTCTTTTAAAACCTTGAGAAAAGTAGGGTGAAAATAACCGTAGGCCAATCGCGAGATCGATGATCAGAATCTGGATTGTCGGAAGTGGCCTCAGATTGGATTGGGCCGTAGATCGAGTATTCAGAGCGGATTGTGGGGTGGGCGAGCCAGGCTGGATGGCAGGGTCGTGCATTGCGCATTGGGCCTGCACATGATTGGGTTTTCCTGGTTGTAGGCTGCCTCGTCTTGGCTTGCAGGCTGGGTGGCTTGGGTTTAGGCCCGTTAGGCTGCCTGGCTAGTAGCAACTGCTGTAGTTTGGGCTCAAGTATAGGCCTCCTGCCCTAGGCCTGCTATGGCAGCCGGTGTACGGTGGGCCTCTTACTCGTAGCCTGTTGATGCCTTAACAGCGTGTGTCTGGGCCACGGCTAAGGCTGCTGCTGCTGTGGTGGTCTTTGTCGTGGATTGCAAGGTGGTGGCCGTGGCAGTGGTGTAGCTCTATTGCAGTGGGGTTTCTCCCCGTCGTCGCCTTGAGTCTTGAGGATCGCTGTCTCGGGGCTATGTCCTCATCTCCACTCTTCGGTCTAAATCCTTGTACGTACAGGGTTTCGTTCATTGTGGTTTGTGAATTTCCTACCATTGTATCATTTCTCCAGGGATTGATCATGAAAATTTTCTAGAAAAAATTAATTTATACGACATGTGAGAAATTCAACGTAACAAAAAATTCAAGAAACTAAATGCATGAGGCTTATTCGAGTATTTGAATCAACTCTCAATGAAAGCACCAATTTGTTGACGCAAATTTTTGCCGTCTTTAACTTTGATGAAAATGCACCTGCAAAACAACCAACACCTTTGATCAAGAACCTAAGCCTCACGTGCCCACGAGGTGGGGGGGATTAGGCCAATGGATCTCCGATGCCCAAATCAGTTTCTCTGAGTAGAGTAAAGTGTTTATGGCTTTTTTAGGGTAGCAAAAGCTTCTGAAATTTGGTAGAATATGGGGTATATATAGGGGGAGAAGACTGGCCATAGTGTTAGGGTTATACCCTACACATGGTGGCATCCTATTGGCCAAGGTTTATGGGGAAATATTCTCAAGATATTAAATAGGAAATAATACCTTGAGATAATGGAGTAAGTATCCCTAATTGATTTAAATTGGGATTACTTACTTGATTGGAGTCAATCTTTAATTGGGGAATGTATTAAAGATATGATTTGGGTAATTGATCCTTATCTTTAATGCTTTGACTTTTCCTTGCTAAGGGCATGGGTTGTGGGCAGTCGTATTCAACGAGTGAGACCTTTATGGGTGTGAGCTGCGTGTGGGAGTATTTGAGGAGCTTGCCCATTTATTGATGGCAATCTTGTCTTTCTTGAGCAAAAGTCCACATGTCGCCTCTAGAATTTTTGGGATTATTTTAGGCTCCACAATCAACACGTGACGTCACCACATTCCTGTCTATTTATCATGTCTCGCATCCGAGACAAGACCAAAACACAAACAATGATTCAACCACGCAGTCATTTTCTTTTATTTCATGGCTGCATCTAACCTTTGCATTAGATTGCCTACGTACCCTAAGAAGGGATCAAGCCATTTGTAGTTCACCATTCATTACACTTCGACATTTCTTACAGTACGTTCTAACAGAAAGGCATAACATTCTTCAATCAATTATTAGAACTTGACAAACTTGACTTACTAGATTCAGGCTACATAACGAAGCCACATGACATTCAAGATTTCCATGATCAATCATATAAATCACTATGTTTTCAACATCATACCGCAATCCATAGTATGTGACATATCAAAGAACCAACGAAATACAATATTATTCTCTAGCCAAATTGATCAACTAATTTGGTCATGATAATAACTAAGGTAGACTATTTTGTTAAAAAAAGATATTCCGACACAATTGTTTGGTTAGAACAACATCATCGCAAATAACATATGTTGTCTTTAACACCTTCCCACATTCAATAAACCCCACCCGACCATCCCCCCACTTTTTTTTTTTGTTAACAAATGAGATTATCTACACTAAGATGAGGGGGCGTGTGCTAGGCCTCACAATGCGCTAGCAATAATGTGGTTCAAATTTGCCTTTAGCAAAAATTGAACTTAAGACCTCTCACTTACAAATGAATCGTCCTAGCTTTTAATATAAAAAACCTCTCCAAAATCTAAAGCTTTATTTTTCAGAAAAAAGAAAAAGAAAAGAAGAAAATGGGTTTTAATTATAGTCAATGGCTTATGAAGCTGTTAGTTGTGCATAAGTGTATGACATAATTACCATGAGGTTTTATGACATAATTAATAGTGTATGATTTGACTTACGATATACGTTGTAGTGACTTTTTTTGTCAAAGAAGAATAATGCTTGGCTCGTCGAGGTTGAGGAGGATGCTTCGTGTTCAATTCATAAAACTTCGTGTTTATAGTTAAAACCATTCATACTATAAATCATTTTGAAAATATCGTTTCTTAAAAAAATCAATTAAGTATAAAATTGTTTAGTTAATCAACTATAACAAATAAATTGACAGTTTACAATGCTTTAGCTGAATCCTTCTATTCGTAGGTTGCGTGCTTGTTGATTAAAAAATTCATAGGTTTCAAATTGGTTTTATCTTACTTATGTCACCTTAACATTCTAAACTATTAATGCACTAATAAGTGTGCCGCCTAGATGCTACAGTGAAGTGTTTGTGTAGGTTAGTCCTTGTTGAGATTAGATTTGCATGCTAGTGAGTTTGGTAGTGCTAATGATTGTGTAATATCTTATTATGATAAAATCAAATTAAATAGATCTTGGACTTTTAATAGTTACCTATCAATAACTCAATAGGTTGATTTGTTACCTGTGGTCGAAAAGACAATTTCAAAACTTGACAATCTCCAATAGTAAAGAACTATATTCTTAGCCCTCCATAATTTTGTAGTTTGAAATTCAGTTGTTTTTATTTTTTCTAGAAATTAGAAAAAAGTACTCAGTAGAAAGTGTTCGGAAAATTCTCTAAAGAAATTGGCCATTAACTGACTTCAAAATTTTGCAAAAATTTGCGTAAAGCACTTGAAGGGAGGCCCTATCCCATATGCCCCTTTCTCAACTTTCTTCAAAGAAATTGTGCTAATTAACTTGAAATATTCGCAATTTTGTCTGTAAAACGCGTAAAGGAGCCTCATCCCATGTGGCCCCATTTTATATACTGAGGGGATATAAGGGGATGCAGAAGATTAAGAATCCAAAACATAGTGAATTGAAGGATAAATGCCCTATTCATAAGGGAAATCCACCATCTCTCATAATCAAGCTAAACTCTAGTTTACCGAAGCCAATTTGGGAGGTGTGTGTTTTCTATCTCAAGGTTTGCTAGTTCATTTTCAAATTTTTTAGTTTGCTTTTATCTTTAATTGAAGATTCGTGACATTTCATGTTATCGTGATATATTAGACTAATAATCAAAGGATATACAACAAGTACATAATCCTCACATCACCTTCTCTTTCTATCCCGACTCCGACTCCGACTCTCCTCCCTCGATCTCTCCTCCGACTCCCTTTCTATCCCTCGATCTCTCCTCCGACTCCCTTTCTATCCAAACTTTGCGATCGGGAATGCGACCGCGGCGGCGGCGGGAAATGGCGGGTTTGGAGTGGCGGAGGTGAAGGGGTCGGTGTTTGCTCTGGCGCAGTGCTGGAAGACTGTGGGGAGTGCTGGGTGTAAAAGTTGCCTGGAGAAGGGAAGTAAGGCTGCGATGGGGTGTGCACCCAGCAAGGAAGGGAGGGCTTTGAATGCTGGGTGTTACCTGAGATATTCGACTGAGAAATTTTATAACGATGCCGGAGGAGCAGAGCAGGTTGCAGATCATGGCCATGGTAATTTATAAATTAGGGTTTCTGATTTAGGAAATTAGGGTTTCTGATTTAGGAAATTAGGGTTTTTTATTTAGGAATTTAGGGTTTTTTATTTATGTGGGTTGTTTCTGATTTAGGAATTTTGTGGGTTTCTGATTTTGTTTTGATTCATCAACTGATGTAATTTGTAATTGCGAGGGTGGAGGTCTTGGATTCGTGGAAAGATGACTTCTCTGGTTCGATTTGCCGATTTGAACAATTTGATTATTTGTGAGATTGATTTGATGTAGTTTTGTGCGTAAGAGTAATGGGTTCTGTTTGAAACTATGGATCTGGGATTTCAATGGGTTTGCTTATTTCGGGACATGCATGGAAGTTGAATCGATTATGTGTGTGAGTATGTGTGTTGTGTGTGTGTATTCAAGAGCAGAGAGTATGTGTGTTGTGTGTGTGTGCTCGGTGGAGAAGCTGTGGTGCGACGACGAAGGCAGCATGGCGGTGGTTCTGGAGTCTTTTCCGTAGCGGTTTCGCAAAAAAAAAAAAAAAAAAAAAAAACCAAGGACCGGTGGACCCGGCCCGGACCGGCCCGTTTGAAACGGGCCGGGTTCGGTCCGATTCCTGTAATGAAATATGATGTACCCGACTCGGCCCGGCCCGTTTCTTTTAATCTGCGGTTCCTTGAAAATTAGGTCCGGCCCGGCTCGGCCCGCCCCGTGCCCAGCCCTAATATTTCTAACAAAATTTGGGGGTGACATGTGAGTTTTGATTAGTCAGCTTTAATTAAAGCATATATTTAAAAGAAATTTTTAAGGTAGTAGCATTTTTTTATGTATGTGAAAGTGAATAAGCCTTGTCTCTCCAAATTTTTAATTTTTGTCCTCCTGGGAGCGTCTGTAACTTTGTGCACAAACCCAATAAGGAGAACAATTTCAATTTTTTTTATGGTAAACTTTGATCTAGTTTCAGGTGCAACTGATTCTCTTTCTGCTATCTGATCTAAGAGATAGAGGGGATGGAGTTGATTGGGTTCATTCAAGTTTTCAACATCATCATCATCGCCATCGGGACGCTGTTGTACATGTGCTGCAGACCATTTTCTTCTTCGTCTTCTGCGACTGATTCTGCTGTTGTTGATTCTGCTGCTGTTGCTGATGATGACGATGCTGATATCCCCCCATGTCAAGAAAAGTATGATGTGTTTATCAGCTTCAGAGGTGAGGACACCCGCCGTACTTTTACCAGCCATCTTCACGCTGCCTTACTTGCGAAAAAAATCACAACCTACATTGATGACAAGCTTAAGAGAGGAGATGAAATCAAACCTGCCCTTCGAAAAGCAATCGAGGAATCCGAGCTTTCGGTGATCATTTTCTCAAAAGACTACGCTTCCTCTACTTGGTGTTTGGATGAGCTTGTGCATATCCTAGAATGCAAGGAAAAACATGGCCAGTTGGTTATACCCATTTTTTACGACACCCTTCCATCGGATGTACGAAAACAACGGGGGAGTTATGCACTTGATCCACTTGAACAACGTTTCGAGAACAGTATCGACAAGGTGCGCAAGTGGAGGGTTGCTTTGACACATGCAGCAAATATATCTGGCTTTGATTCAAAAGATTATCGGTAACTAACTAATTCTTTAACTTGTATTATATTATAAATTTTCTTTAAACTTGTGTTGATTTTATTTGTGCTAAGATTTTGTAAGGTATATAGATTTAAGACTAACTATAACTTTCCTACATAATTATACATATATATCTGCCAGGACGGATGCTGATTTGGTTAAGAAAGTTGTAGAGGATATTTTGACCAAATTGTGTTACGAATCATCATGCGATTTAGAGGGCCTGGTTGGAATTGAAAGCCGCATCGAGCAAATTGAATCGCTATTAGGCATTCATTCACAGGACGCTTGCATCAGTGTGGGTATTTGGGGAATGGGTGGTATTGGCAAGACCACCCTTGCTGAAGCCGTATTTAACAGACTCTCTTCTAAATTCGAAGCCTGTTGTTTTCTTAGAAATGTTAGGGAAAGAGAACAAAAAGATGGGCTAGAACACTTGCAAAATACACTTCTCAGTCATATATTAAAGGAAGAAGGTCTATCCATAGGATCAACTTTTGTTCGGGATAGGCTTAGCTGTACAAAGGTCCTCATTGTTCTTGATGATGTGAGTGATTCAATGCAAATGGAAGGTTTAGCTGGCAATCGTCTTCGGTTTGGCAATGGAAGTAGAATCATCATCACAAGTAGAAATAAGGGCACACTTAGGCAAACCGTTGAAAAGGATAAAATCTATGAGGTTGGAAGATTAAATCCAGATGACGCTCTTCAGCTCTTCTGTTCGCGTGCTTTCAAGAATACTCGTATAACAGATTATAAGGGGTTGGCAGAAAAGGTGATGCATATTGCCGGAGGCATTCCTTTAGCTCTTATACTTCTGAGGTCCTCATTCCTAAATTGCAAGAGCAAAGCAGACTTGGAAGATGAATTGGACAAATTGAAACAATTTCCTAATGAAAATATCCAGAGAGTGTTGAGACTAAGTTATGATGGATTGAGAAGAAATGAGAAGGAGATATTTTTGGATATAGCATGTTTTCATAAAGGGCATGGTGTGGATGAGGTAAAACAATTGTTAGATGTTCGTGGATTCTCTGCGACGGTCGGAATTAGAATTCTCAGTGATATGTCTCTCATATCAATTGGTTCAAGATGGGGACGAGAAACCATAGAGATGCATGATCTGCTTGAAGAAATGGGAAGGACAATTGTTCAGGAACAATGTATTGAAGATCCCAGTAAGCGGAGTAGGTTATTCAACGATAAGGATGTTTATCATGTATTGAAAAGTAACAAGGTAAGAGTCAAATGAATTCAATTTTTTTTTTCTTTTCTTTTCTTTTTGTAGAAAAAACACATGTGAGTAACATCTTTATTAGAGATTAATAGAGATTGTACAATTGATTGTGTAATTATATGGTAAGAGTAGCGTTTTTGCATTTATAATAAAAAAGTCAGATTCTTAAAAAAAAAAAAACGTTTTTGCATTTATAATAAAAAAGTAGATTCTTAAAAAAATAAAAAAATTAATTTGATTGAATTTTTATTGTGTTAGGAAGTCTTTGGAATATGAACAAATGTTTGTTTTTTAAGACAAGTAGAGGAGGATACAATTATGTTGGATATTTTACTACACACTTGTACATCATTACCATCGCAAATACTCTAAATTATTATATAATGTTGTAGAATTCTTTTTCCAAATGGGCATTACATTTTAACATGTTGAAAAGATATACATATATTCACATTTAAACTTTCTTCTTATTGTCAGGAAACTTCAAATGTTGAAGCCATATTCCTTAATTATTATAACATTGCAGAGCGACCATTGAAACGTATAGACTTCAAACTGATGTCTAACCTAAGATTGCTAATTGTGGATGGTGGCTACAAGATCAATGCTTCTCTAGACCTTCCCGATTCTCTTCGTTATCTTTACTGGCCTAGATATCCAATGAAATCTTTGCCGTCAAATTTTTGTCCGGAAAATCTAGTTGAGCTTCACATGCCCAATAGCAAAGTTAAGAAGCTTTGGAAAGAAGACCAGGTATATTATATTATATGCCTATTTTAATTCTTGTATAAAATCAAGTGTAGAAATTATATTAATTCTTTATATTTCTATTTACTCTTGTTACAGAGACTTGTCAACTTAAAAGTGATCGATCTGTCGCGCTCTACAAATCTAACTGAAGTTCCAAGTCTTTCTGGGAGTCTAAAAATTGTGAACATAAATCTCTGTGGCTGTGAAAGTTTGGTTGAAATTCATGGGTGTTTTCAACATCTTGACAAGCTTACTCGTCTTGATCTTGGAGACTCGATCAGTCTCAATTATCTTCCAAAGATGCCAAGAAATATTAAATACTTGGATTTAGAAGGCAGTGGTATAAAGGAGTTGCCTGAATCAGTGTGGTCTAATGAAAATATTTCTTACTTGAATATAGGTTATTGCTATTACCTTGAGAAACTTCCAAGCAACAGTTGTAAGCTGAAAGTCTCTGGTAGTTTTGATCTATATGGCTGCATATCTCTTCGCGAGTTTTCTGAGGGATATAACTAAATTATCATTGGTTCGTTGCAGCAGTCTTGTGAGTCTACCAATCAACATTTGGAAGTTGAAATATCTCAAGGAACTCAATCTCATTGGGTGCTCTGAACTTGAACATTTCCCAGAGATCTTGGAGCCAATGAAACATTTGGTGTCTCTTCGTTTGGAAGGGACGGCTGTACAAAAGCTTCCTTCGTCATTTGGAAATCTAATTGGGCTTCAAACTTTAGACCTTAGTGGCTGCAAGCACCTTAAGGTTGTCCCAACAAGTATCTACCGTTTAACCAAACTTCAACGTCTCAACTTTAATGCCTGTCGGGAACTTGAAAAATTGCCTTACAGCTCTGTCGGTTTTCTCTCTTTAGAGAAACTAAATCTCAGCAACAGCGGTATATTGGAAATCCCTGATGGTCTCGTTTGCTCAACCGCATTGAAATATTTGGGTCTGTCTGGAACCAATATTAGGAGCATACCTGCAAGCATCAAACAAGCTTCTCGATTGTCTACACTCAACATAAACAACTGCAAGTGGCTTCAATCTTTGCCAGAACTCCCAGTGCAATGTAATGTTGACGCTGAAGGCTGCACGGCGCTGATGAGAGTGGCAAGTTCAAGAAATAAGACTGAAAAACAGGCAAGGCTCTTATTATTTTAGTATTGTTTATACATTATAAAGCGCAATGTCATAGAAAAGTGTGTAATACCAAGTTTGTTATCTTTGATCAAGTCCAGCAGCATCTTGATATTCGCCTTTATAACATAAACTTAGACATTAATTAATACGCCAGACTTAAGGCAAGGTAAATCTCACGACCAAGCGCGATAGTTTGAACATTCGACACCATAAAATTCGCAATGGTTCGATGGCAGAATTGCAAAGAGCGAAAAATATGAATGACCCAATTGGACCAACACCGGCCAAAAACAGTGTTCTTGTTTGAACAAAAGAAAGATCAGCAGAACAAATTTTATTAAGGGGGTAAAATATTACAGCAAATTAAGGTCGAAAAAAGAAAGGCACAACCCCAGTTTAATAATACAATCATAAAATTTGTAACAACGATAAAACTATAGGGGTCTTCGCTTCAATAGGACTAGGAACATTCCAAAATTACGGAGAAAAATTATAAGCTAAAGGAAAAAAAGAATGAAGACAAAGCGAGATGCATATACAAAGAAATGAAATACAAAAGACACATTACAGGCACAATGATTTCAAAGCATAAAACTTGGCCACGGCCCGTAACACCCACGATAGAAAGGCTTGGAACGGCGAATAACAGACACTAAAACGAAGCAGAGCAACTACCTGGCTAAAATGCACTCCAATGATCAGAGTCTTTTTCGGAGTCTCCAATGACGTCCGGAAAGGCCCTGAAGACCCAAATGGGTCCGAGTTTCTTCTTGGAGTGAATGATGTCCTAGATGGAGAGGACCGAAATGCGTCCGAGTCTCCTCTTGAAGTTTGACTGTCAATGATGTCCTAAATGGCGCTGCTGAAAACCCAAAAAAATCTGATTCTTTTCTGGGAGTTTGACTGTCCAGTGACGTCCGAAATGGACCTGAAGATCCGAAGGGGTCTGAGTCTCTTCTTTGAGTTTGACTGTCCAGCGATGACCTAAATGGCGCCGAAGAGCCAAAAGGGTCTGGGATGTCATCAAATGTTGGAAAACCATTACCCTGATCAAAATCTCTACTGCTGCGCATAGAATCAAATCTTCCGAGTGTTTCTGGTTGAGGAAAAAATCCAGTATCTTGTGTGCTTCTGAACGAATCAAACCTAGAGGTGTCAAATGAAGGTTCTGAGCTATCCTTGTACCTTGGCGGTGAATACCCTGAATTGAAGGCTGAGAGTGGTGTGCTAGGAACAGAATCGTCGAAAGTAAAAGGGCGGCTCTGGGAAAAGCCACCACCTTGTGATGACCCAGTCCTGATAGGGTTGAGGCCGAACTCCCCAGGGCCGGAAAAGTAGTGATCCTTATTACTCTCCTGATCCATATCCTACATCAGACACGATTAAGAGCAGTTCCAGCACAATCAGCATGCCAGCAATAACAACAAATATAAAACCACAAAAACAGAAAGCTTGAAAGTGCTATGTAACCAACATGCTATTAGAAAAGAAAGCGGATTTACTGGAACATAGAATCCATGTCTACTTGGAAGGTGCAAAATAATGGAAACTTTCCATCGGCTACAAAATGTTAACAAGAAGTGTTTCTAACATGACAATGAATGCTAGTTTTTTAACTTGAAATTTAACTTTCTTTTTTCCAGTCACTATTTTTAACAATGATTAATACATTGTTAACCTGGAAACCGTCAATATTCGAAAAGTGTGCGCAATATGGCACCATCTCTTGTCAATGTCAAGTTGTCAGCACAAAAAAGATCTTGACTAAGATTAACCAAGACCTAAGGCTTAAATCAGAGTCCCCTTCAATGTGCAATTAATTGCGCCAAGAAGTATCCCGCAACCCCTTCTTTTTATATCTACGGTGAACCAAAACTAAAATCAGGAAACTTGGTTTCGCCATACTTGGTTGAAAGACCCGTACTACTAACTGATTTGCATGAGGAAACTAACTCCAATTGGGAAAACAATTTAATCCTCTAAGACTATAATTCCTTATAGACTTAGGACAACTTATCATGGGATGGAAAAACCTAACATCCAACAGTACTGCTGGCAAATGGACTGTTCGGAGCACTTTTTGCTGACTCGTCCTCATTTTTATCATATGCTGCTCCATTTTCAACAACCTTGGCATCCGTACTTTGAGGCCTTTCTGACTTAACATCAACTTTAGGTGAAGAAGCGGTTGTTGGACTCTCAACTGGGGGAGCTTTTGCTTTCTCAACTGATGATTATTTCTGTTTTGGAGGTGCCAAGACATTTGACACATCAAGAGTGAGCTCCTTGACAAAAGTGAATCCTGACAAGAAACTTCTGAATCAGTCACCTCGAACAGTTAAAACTCCTAAACAGGTTAGCAAACCACAACTAGATGACAAAGAAACTACAAAGAAACAAGGTCAAAAGGTAAAAGGAATCTCGGTGCTACCAGAAATTTATTATCTCAGAGACAATACTGGACGGCATACCTTCATCTTCAAAGCTATGCCAAACCTCATCCCAGTCAGCAGCTCCTTCTTGGATGCCAGGTTGCCAGCCTGTATGAAATAAAATAAAATTTCAGATTACAAAATGCAATGCAGTACAATTCCGCAGCAGTGAACAATAACAAAAAAGAAAATGACACACCCATGAAATGCTACATGGAATTCGAATAATGGTAATCAAACAAATATGGATCATGGAATTTAGAAAATAGATACTCAGCCAATGTGGCGAACAAAACCTATCTTTATTCCATAACTAGTCGTCACCCAAAATATCATTTTAAAAAATCCTCGTGTTTCTCTCAAACCAAGAAACCCCAAAAAACTGTTGCCATACTGCACCCTCACAAAAGCCTTCATATCACCACCAAACTACTTATGTACCCTGCAGGAATTACCGAACTTACATTTCCTTCCCTATACAATCTCAGTCGCACATAAAGCTATAGGACAATGATAAAACACATGATCTGCACTTCCTCCCAAGAGTACTTGTCAATTCAAGAATCAATACTAATTCAGACCACAGACATCCAATTGTTCAAAAATAAACTGCTGCAAAAATCAAATAGTAATAAGTCTGTAGATTATTTAAAAGCAAAAAAATGATTGAGATGCCCAAAAATCTGTCACTCATAGAACACTTATATTCAAACGCAAAAATTAAAACTACTGTAGAATGTTCATTATGCACAACCAATGGCATACAAGAAAGAAAGGGCAGAAATAAACACGAGATACTCACAAGTTCCTGCATTTTGACCCGGAAATATTCAATTTTCTCTCTAGCATCCAAAATTTCTTTATCCAGTTCTACTGCAAAGAACAAACGGAATCGCATCAAAAGGTTGAGAAAAGACAACTGAGAATGGAGCAAAACTGCAATAAAGTATAATGAAAGCTTATAAAAAAGAAAGTATAATTAATGCCATGCACTAAAAACATGGGAAGTGCCAATCATTAAGATTACTAATACAAAAGAACCGATCATGAACTTCAAAAACCGAACAGTCTCCCTACTTAAACTTGATCAAAATCTTCTCCACGGAAATGAGCGATATTAAGAACAAAGTAAAACCCACAATCACAAGAATCCCAAGTCTTTCGGATTTTGTTATGATTTGACACTTATCAGGAAGTAACATGCACACAAAACTTTGTTGTTCAAGCTGAAAAAATTGGGGAAACATTAAAGTTCTAAGTACCTTTTTTTATCAGCTTCAGTTGCTTCTTTGAATTTTGAGTTCAGTGAGTTAACCTCCTATGTACTCAGTTGATTTACAAGATGTTTCTCCAATTCTGGTACTCTAGGTTTCTGCTGATTGGCCTGCTGCTTTTCCTCAGCATGAGAAGGAGCAACTGGCTTCAGTGGCCTTCCTCCAGCTGGGGTTGCCATGTGCCAAGCACCAGGACCAAGGATCGGTTGCTGTTGTTAAAAGCCTTTTAAAATAAGAAACTATTCTCCATCAAAGAAAGACATATGGTTTAAAGAAAAAATAAAGTAATTTGTTTTACGGATGAATACAAGATGCAGGTCTCCAGGCTACATTGCAGCATTGGAGTAATTATTTGCAGGTTGAAAAATATTGGATAAATCAAGCATAACATTGTTTGGTAGCACTGCTGGAAGAGGGCATCCCTAAACGCTCCAGCAAATATAGGCAACACAAAACTCTCTGACAGAAAGCATGCTATTGTTATCCTGATCGGATAAATCCCACACCTGCGTTAAAACCTCTGACAGATGTCAACAAGAGCATAAAGTTAAGAGTGGGGGAACTTATAGCTTCCAAAAGTTATATTTGTCGTCATACTATATATGTGCATAACTGTAACAATGGACAGTGTCCATGCCTGCACAATCAGCTCAAAGAAGTGCACTACATGAGCTTTTAACACACCCTGAAGTTTCATATGCGATAACGACATGTTCTCTTTCAAGATAATGTGGCATGATGGATGGTCATTCTATCAATCTAGAGTCCTAAACTGCACGTTCAGACATGACTCAATTTAATAGTACTTATGGATGATTGTATGTCAATTGGCCAGCCTAAAATTACTCCCAATTACAAATAAAATTTTATATCTACAAAATATTTTTGGCATCAAGTAAGTTTTTATATCAAAAGACAAACAAATCATGCAAAGAATGAAAATCCACCAGCAAAGCATTTAGAAGAAAAATATGCTTGATCCAGCCCGTTGTGTTCAGGAATTCAAGCTAAATGCTACCAACTAAACATTGTCAGTCATCCACCACCCAAAAGAGGAAAAATAACAAGTTTAACTCCGGGTTAGGGAGAGTACGAGTTTTGCAAAGATGCATCAGTTCAGTTACATTACAAGTACAATATTGTAATGTAATAAACAATCCTAGGTCAATCCTTGGGTCATATAACACATTTCTAAAGTCTGCTTACCACATAAGGTCGAATGGATACACCAGAAAGTAAATTAATGACCTGATAACATAACTCTCTCAACCTCACTATCTGCAGTATAAATCCTTCATCTACTTATTTTCTACCATTTGAACATCAATTCCGCATTTATACTAACATGAAATAAAAATCTCATCTTAGATCAGAGAAGTACGACATCACGACCTCACATTAACCACTTCAACTACAATCAGACTACAAATTCAAAATCAATCTGATTTGGAACACATTTCCACAAGCATCAGATCCCGATCAACCACTATAATAACACAAATATAATCATACACACTACATTACACATCCAATTATACATATATATACAAGAATATACACATGTATATATATAGAGAGAGAGAGAGTACCTGCGCAAGGACCAGTTTGGGGAGACCGGAGCCCTGGAAGAAAGCGACGGCTTCATTGCCACTAATCCGGCCATCGGGGTCCAAATCGGCTCGTCGGTAATACGCATCGAATAGATCCACATTCGCCGATTGTTTCTGCGCCGACGCCATCGCCACCGTCTGATTGTTTCGCGCGCTGAGGCTACCGTACGCTCAAGGAGCGCCGGGGAGAATCGGAAAACCACGAATTCGGAGGACGAATATTTCAATGCCTTAGAAAACGACGACGGACAACGTGGATTTGGTTGCCCTTCTTCTCCGATTAGGAGGACAATCAGAAGACGACGGAGCACTAACAGATGCCAATAGTTTGAGGGAAAAACGATGGTCGTTAATCGATTTTTACTTTTGATTTTTTGGAGTAAATTGTAGCACTTTGTCCCTAAACTTTAATCAAATTGGAACAATGATCTCTTAACTAAAAATTCATTACTATTGGTTCCTTAACATATCAAAATGTGTAGCTATAGCCATTTTCATCAATTTTATCAAAATAAGTTACGTTGGAATAACTATTTATATAATTAGGATCCCTCACCTCACCAAAATGTGTAATTATGGTCCTTTTCGTTAACTACGTCAAATTTTTTGTCAAAACGAGTTATATTGGAATGACCATTATTACAATTGGGTTAAAGTTAAGAGACCATTTCTTCAGTTGAATTAAAATTGAGGGACCAATGGTAATGGATTTTTAGTTGAGGGACCATAGCTGCACGTTTTGATGAGTTGAGGGACCAATGGTAATGTATTTTTAGTCGATGGACCATTGCTCCAATTGAGTTAAAGTTAAGGAATCATAGCTACAATTTACTCGATTTTTTGCAACAAAAACTGTATTGTCGTGATATTTCAAAACTGCCACTTGCTCTAATTTTCGGCTTTGGAATAAGAAGAATTGAAGAAGATCAAAGAACAAAAATTAATAAGATGTGTGTGAGAAGTATAATGAGATATGTGGAAAGCACACACCTTCATGGATTTAAGGCCCCGTTTGGGATTGAGGTGATTTTAAAAAAAGTCACTGTGAAAAAAAGCTGAGGGTCATTTTTGTGTTTGGTAAACTGAAAAAAAATGGCTTATTTGGAAGCTGATGTGAGAATAAGCTGAAAATCAAAGGAAAAGCTGAAGCTGCTATTTGCTGCTTTGAAAAAAAGCCAGTTTTTTCAAAGCACACGGAGCTACAGTGCTCCTTTAATGAAAAAACACACTATCATCCTGCTTTTTTTTCCAAAAGCACTTTCACAAAAAAGTTTACCAAACACTCTACTGGCTTTATTTCACAGCCGCTTATTCTCACAGCACAGCCGCTTATTCTCACAGCAGCTTTTTTTCAAAGCACAGCAATACCAAACCAGCCCTAATACTTGTTCATCCAATTAGTATTCTGAGTAAATTTACAACTAGTAATGAAATTAAGGTAATGTGCTTTTTTCTTTTCTTAACTATGATATTACCGCCCATGGAATGCTTTTCTCAAGCTTAGATTGTATCCCAATCAATAAACAAGCAAAATGCAGAATGTTTATATTGCATGTTAGTTCTGATCCATTTTTAAAAATCATATGCATGGTCAAGGATTGAAATATCGGCCGATACACCGATATATCGATATTTTCAATTGTCGATGATACCGATACTGGGGGGTAAGGTCATATCTTCCCCTATATCGATGATATATCCCCGATAAGTGCGATATCTCCGATATTTTGTTGATATTCTCGATATTTCCCGATACCTATAACAATACCCAAAAAAATCAAAAGTTTTGAAGCAAATTGAAACCCAAAAGATTTTTTGTAGGTATGTGGGCAATGATTAGATATGTGTGAAGGCTTTTGGCAATATCCAATTCAAAAGATTTTTTGGAGTATCCATTAATTATTACTATAAAGAATCTATGCACAATGAATTGAGAGGACATACGTGTCTTATTCAAAGAGAAAGAAATACACAAATCCAAATATTAAATTTCTGGTCAAATATATCTTTAATACCCACAAGAAAATGATGCACATGTGTCTGAGCTTCTTGTGGAACTCTTTATCATTTAATATTTGTTTTGTTTTTTGGTTGTTTCTTTTTCACTTTTTGAAGTCAGGCAATTGGCAATATGCAATGCATTGCCCATATACCTCCAAAAAAATCTGACTACCTTTATTTCCATCAAAGCCAGAGAATCATCCAAATGGAATCCATAAAATAAAGTCTGCAGTGCCCATATACCATTGTCCCCCAACCCCCAAAACTTCCCATTGTTATCACAAGAGAAGCCCTCTTTAAATCAGAGGTTGTTTTACTTTTTTTGGGGCACCAAATCTTCACTTCTCTTCTTTCTCTGCGAGCTTTTCAATTTTTATTTCGTCTGTGAGCTTCTTTCCTTGTTTGCAAGTTCTCTTTGACTGCTGTTTCAGGTATGTGGCTCTCCCTCATGGTCTGTATTATTTTTGTGATAGATTTGATATTGTAAGTTAATTTAATATATTTAAGTGTGATAGATTAAAAATGGCAAGTAGTAGTAGACCGAGTGGAGCTAGTGTGCCTGGTGGTTTTGATGTGGCATGGAAATATGCTCGTCCAAAAGAAGTCAATAAGCATGGCACAATATGCACATTTTGTGAATCCACATTTCAAAGTGGTGGAATGTATTGAAACACATAATTTTGGTCTAAAACTTTCATAGATGTTATGTACATTATCAATGAATGTATTGAACAAATAAAACTCAAAATTTACTAATAATAAGATATACATATGATGAAATATAAGTGGTATGTAATGCGCGTTAACGAAAAGTTTTCTAATAAAATGTTTATTAGAATGAATAAACCATGCATAAATCCATAGTTTGTTTAAACATTAGATTACAATTTAGATAAGTGTCCAACTACATAAATGAAGAGCTCTTATGAGGTTCAAACAATGAGGAATAACCATCTAGATTCATACAATAGTCATACCAAGTCATGTAACCCGAGCAGTTTGTAAGCCATGTTTGAACATGGTGCACATATGTCTCTCTTGAGCTCCCTACTGTCCTCCCATACATGGGATAGTTAGGATTAACCCAACTAGTAGGTCCATAGTCTGTTTCATCATCTTGAGCTCCATAACTAGTTCCACTATAATCAGACACGACATACCCATAGCCATCATAAGATTCATTTGAGTTAGTACTAGGTCTAGTTCTTATGCTCATAGATCCAAAACGGATCTCCATGTCATCTTCAGATGGATTGATTGGTTGGCTTCTTTTCCCTGAGTATTGTTTCCCAATTGCGCCAATGCCTAGTCTAGCTTCTCTGCATCCATGATCCTCATCTTGGGTGGCATGAGTAAAATCAGCCTCGATAGTAAATAGGCTATTTTGTCTTCCTTCTTCATTACCTCTTGATCCAGCATTACTTCCTCCATCATTATCTGACGAATTGGATGAACTTTCCTTTCTACTAGTACTGGCATCGTCTCTCAAGGGACATCTTTGACCTTGCCGAGTGCCAAGCATATCCATTTCAAATGATGAAGTATCTCCACTCCTAACATCTTCGGATATGACTCTATCAACATCAACTCCTTCTTGGGCAGCATGTTTGCTATAATGGCATCAAGGTTGCCTTGTTCATCATCCAAGTGAGCTGTCATAATCCATTGTTGAATTGGATTATTATCATCATCAGATGGTTGCCTTGCAATGTCAATAAGGTCTATGTAGTCATTTTTTGCAACCTTGTTCATTTCGGCCTCTTCATCACGTAGCTTAAGTTTCATATTATAATAGCAAAAGACAATCTTTTCCAGCCTAGTATATGCAAGAAGGTTCCTTTGTTTCGTGTGAATAAGAGCAAATGTACTCCAATTTCGCTCACATGTCGATGATGATGTTGTCTGTAACAATATACGCATAACAATTTTTTGCAAGTTTGGGGCAGAATCACCATGAAGATTCCACCATTCTGTTGGGGGGATCGATTTTCTTGATTTGACGGCCATCTCAGTGCGAAATGTTTTTCTACAGTCTCTAAAATTTATCACCTAGATTCACAATGTTTTGTGTTCAGTATGCATAAAACTAAACTTAATGAGGAAGACATTATTTTGTGTTCACTTACCTCGGCCCCAAATGTTTGCAAACCTCTATCCCCAGTTGGATTCAACCTTTCAAATACGCGTTGAAGTCCTGAAAGTAACTATTTATTGTGGCCAACCCCTGTTTCATATTGATATCTAGGGTTCAAGTAGTGGGCTACAAATATGAAGATTAGTTAATGCCCGTTGTATAAATTTAAAAATTGATGCACATTTTTACTAAGAGATTAAAACATACCAGCTTGATGTAATGGACGAGATAATGTGACATCCCATCTGTGATTGATGATTTTGAGAATCCATTTTTTTCCCTTCAACTTAGAAATCTTCTCTTTCATTACGTGAAACATATCATATAAGATAGGCATTGTAGGAACTACCTCTGTGTCAACAATTCGCATGATGCTATACAAAGGCTTATGGATGGATTGCACTCCTTCCATGGCATCCCAGAATCTATGATCAAGGACTCGACTTTCAATTCTTTTCCTTTCTTCTGATTCACTGAATCGACTATCATACCATTCCTCACTTGTAAAAAGTTGCCTCAGCCCAACTTTCTTATTTAAGATGCTATTGATGGTGATGTAGTTTGTCGCAAACCGAGTTGCACCGGGTCGGACCAAATCTCCTTGACAGAAGATCCTCATCTGAGCCAATAGACAACCATGATTGTAAATATAGTTGGTTAATTTCCTAGCTTTATTTATGACATTAGCCACTGACTCTTGCTTCCCAATATCTTCAAATATTAGATCAATGCAATGTGCAGCATAAGGAGTCCAATAAATAGGATACTGCTCCATCATTATCTCTCCAGCCTTAACAAAGGCTGAACCATTGTCGGTGACAATATGAACAACATTCGACGGCCCAACCTCTTTTATGACATCCTTCAACAATTTGGTGATGTACTTTGCATCCTTGGTTTTATTTGAAGCATCCGCTGATTTCAAAAAAAATTGTTTTCCCTTTTGAGTAGACCATGAAATTTATTATGGACAACCTCGTCGGGCCAGTCCATCCATCACTCATGATGGTGCATCCATACACGCCCCAATCTTCCTTTACCTTTTCCACATAGGCTTGCATGTATGTGTGTTCCATATCTAAGTACTTATGCTTTATTTCATACGGCGATGGTGTGGCTACGCCTTGACCTAATATAATCGAACTCTTATTAGCAATTGGTGTGTTTAGAATATTTAAGTTCAAGAAAGGAAAGTCATAAGGAATAAATCAAAACCTGCTTGTTGGGCTGCAGCAATCATGT